GAAGAGATAAAAGCAGCAGTTACAGAAACTCGATTTAAAGTGACACTTAGTTTTGTCCTGGCCTGCCATCTTGTCACTGTCTGGCTTTGGGAATATCACTATCTCTTAGTTTCTCATGTGTAAAATAGTGCATTGTGAATAATATAAGTTAGCAGTCTCATGAGGACCAGTCAACATGAGAGGATCATAATAAACCGATGTTCCTGTCATAAACAAAGTTATCAGTACATGTCAGTTCTTTCAATAATAACAGAAAAGTAATTGCTGCTGCTTCGCCCCAGCCCCGCGTATGCCACCTGGGCTCCACAACAACGTGGCATCCAAAATCCTTTCTTCCATGGAGGGTCAGAGGGGTTGGGATACCAACTCTCCTCCATCTGGCCTGCACTTTCCATCGTCTCAGACAAGTCTAGAGCTTCTTTTACCTGATGGAGCACGGTGTTCTATCGTCTGCAAGAGAAAATACACTCAATTGAATTTCAGGTTATGGGGAGATTTGAGGAAAAGGGAGGGGAATTGGATATAAGCACTAGAGAACTGGCACAGCGAGTAGCCCTTATCCAGCTTATTCCGATCTCTAGCACATCCCTGGGGAGGATCAAGAAAGAGCCACTTGCTGAGTCTGAGAGTAAAGGAGGGAGACACTATCGTGGGCCTTTGGATATGGTAAATCACACCTCTTCCTTTCTCCCTCTTCACTCCTCCACCTGCACCCCTCTTATCAAAAGTCACTGCATACTTACTCTGTACCAGGCACATGGGAGACTAAAAGAATCAGAAAAGGTCCTTCCTCAAAGATTCAAAGCTGGCAAAGAGGCAGACAAGGGTTGTGAAGGATGCACAGTGCAGTAGAGGAGCTTCGTTCCACCTGGGCGACAGGGGGTGGTGGGAGTGGCTGGCACAAGGAAAGCTTTGCAAAGAGGAACTCGTAGCTGAACATTCCCTGTTCCTGTAAAACGCGCAGATCCAAACACGAGACGCAATTTTTCAAAAGCAATTCACTAAAACCAACTGCTTCGGCCATTGAGGAGAGAGTGGACACACCTGCTACCCCTTGCAAAGACACCAGCAGGAACGACCAAACACTCCACATGGAAGGCCTACAGTGGAGGCTCCTGTATGCTGATGGATTGAGCCTCTCCTTCCATGTGACATCCCAGTTTCCTACATCTGCATAAACACCATGACCACTAGGACTTTACTAATTATCATTATAAGAAAAGCATCTGTGATTTTAAACATCGTGTTTTAATTCTACCATGTGTTGGCTCTGAATGGCGCCTGGGTCCATGACCCACCATCCCCGGGTGATCATGGGAGGGGGTTGCAGGGCTGTATCATTCCATTATACACCTAACATAGCTTTCAAGATTCACATGAATAACTAGGGGCTAGCTTGAACTCAGGAAGCAGAGTCAAAACTCCATTTTCTTCTTCAAAAATGTGATCCTTTCCTCAGGCCTACACTTTCTTATTTTTTCTCTTACCTAGGATACTATTCAACCATCCTCAGCTCCTAAACTTCCTTCTCCTCTCCTTGAACTTCCAACACTGATCTGTCACTGGAGACCATTCACCAGCCTCCCTAAGTGGTTTTGTGGCATTTGCTCCTGTCCATTCTTTTGCGCAAATTTGTCTCCACAGTAGCAGCTGCGGGAGATCTCTTTAATGCAAATCTGACAGTGACACCCCTGTGCAAAGCCCTCTCAGTACCTCCTGTAGCCTCTCAGGATGAATATCAAAGTCTTTAACTTGGCCACAGGACCCCTTCCCTCCCCTGTGCTCATGTATTTTGCCTTTTGCCTCCACCTCTTCGCTGAATGTCCCCCAGGTGTTTGGGTAATCCTCCAACCTCCGACTCAGGCACTGACTGAGGATATGTGGAGATAAATGAGCAACCCCGCTTCCGTGAGCTCAACAGGTCTAGTAGGGAAAAACGTGCATTGGACAATTGCAGCAAAATGTGAGGGTTTCACACTGGAAATATGCCCAAAGGCTTTGGACATAGAGAAGGGCCATTTGGAAACGAATGAAATGACAAAAAGCGATGACTTACTTTCCTTTTGGGAATCTTGTCTCTCTTTGAAAATGTGTGGTTTTTTCCTATAAAAGAAGAGAAGTTGGTTGTTTAACATTCAGAACCTCTCAAAAGAAACTATATAACCTATAACTATATTTTAACTCTTTAATCTGTAAAGTTATATGACTTTTATAATATCTCCTTCAGCATAAACAAATTAGTTAAAAAAGAAGAGAAAATGAAAGATGAGCCAAGTAGAAATGCATTCTCTTATGCTCTCTCTTTCTCTCTCTCTCCCTTTTCTAAATCTGATAGAAATTGCTTTATAGTAGGAAACTATGGTGATTATTATAGTTTCTTTTTTGGATAATTTTTAAGATAGAGTAGCAATTCTTTGTCTATCATAAGATGAAGTAACAGGTTATTCTAATCCAATTCTAATCTAGATCTCAAAACAAGCAAACAAATTCTCCCATAGAGCACACAGTATAAAAGACCTCTGGAAAAATGCAGCAAAATATTATATAATGGAACCACTGTCATCCTCAGGAAACAAGGACAACATCTGCTTAAGAAGATGACCATATGCCCTGGTTTGTTCAGTCGGTTAATGTCGTTATCAATTACTTAGTGACCATTAACATATTTTTAGCATCCTTTTCACTCCCAGTTGGATGTTACATTATATGATCACCCTGACTGTAAATTATCTCTGCAAGGACAGAAATGTGTGCTTTTGTACATGGAGACCTGGGATTTGCAGTATAAAAACGAGTCTTTCTGTATGCATGTTAGTTTCATCCTTGCCTCTGAGGCTTTCCTGTTAGAGGAGAGGATGCACCCACGAATACTGTTCCTGTTTCTTACCCAACTTGAAGGGTTGCTTCCCTGATCGACTCTCAGGTGACTGTGTCTGGGCTAGTGACAGGCTTTCGTGTGGTCACGCAGACAGCAGAGTTCCACAGGTAACGTACAGCAAACACCACACTGAAACCACACTTTGGGAAAACACCTAAAAAACAAATCCCACTCACCGATGGAGGCAGAAACACTTCAGCGTATGGCAATCCAGCACTAAAATACAAAGAGAAATGACCAGAATCAGAGAATGATTTCTGTAGCTTTTTATCCCCAAGAGAGTATTGATCCTAGGTGACTTGGACACATCTCTCATATAGCTGCCTTTTTCCTTCTAGGATGAAGATGACACTATCAATTCCTAATCAGGGAAAAAAACTTTTGTTGTATTCCCAGCAAGGGAAAAATTTTCTCATTCTCAATTATAAGCATTTACTTGTGATGAAGAACCATAAGATATCTCCAGGAATCACAGGTACAAGACAGTGTGTGGCCATTGAAATCATTTTTTCACGCGTGGCTTACACCTGTAATCCCAACATTTTGGGACTGAGGTGGAGGTCACTGAGGCCACGAGTTTGAGACCAGCCTGAGACAACAAATAGCGAGACCACCCGTCTCTATAAAGACTAAAAATTAACTTGGCATGATGGCATTTGCCTGTAGTCCAGCTAATGCAGGAGGATCTCTGGAGCCCAGGAGTTTGAGGTTGCAGTGAGCTACGATGACATCACTGCACTGTAGCCTCTAGCCTGGGCAACAAGTAAGACCCTGTCTCCAGAAAAAGGTAAATATAAAAAAAAAATTCTTTTTCTCAGGTATAGGTTAGGAAATATCTGTATAGGCATCCACTTCACTTTGAATTTCCTCAGTTTATGCTATATTATAATTGTCTGCTCACTTGTCTATATCCTATACTAGAACGTGAGCTTTCTCAAGTTGGGACTCATATTTATCTTTTCATCATGGTATCATCACCAGTGTATGCCACAATGCTCGACACGCAGTAAATTTTTTCAAGATACTTCATGAAATATGAATAAAGAATGAATAGCCTGGCGGTGCGGTGGCTCACGCCTATTAATCCTAGCACTCTGGGAGCTGAGGCGGTGGATTGCTCAAGGTCAGAGTTCGAAACCACCTGAGCAAGAGCGAGGCCTGTCTCTACTATAAATAGAAAGAAATTAATTGACCAACTAATATATATAGAGAAAAATTAGTCGGGCGTGGTGGCGCATGCCTGTAGTCCTAGCTATTTGGGAGGCTGAGGCAGAAGGATTGCTTGAGCCCAGGAGGTTGAGGTTGCTGTGAGCTAGGCTGATGCCATGCACTCACTCTACCTGGATCAACAAAAGTGAACTCTGTCCCAGAACTTGTACATGACAGAATCATAGTGCATTAGGCTCTATCAAAAAAAAAAAAAAAAAAAAAAAAAAAATAGCAAGAGCAGAGCAACTCTAGTGCAGGAGATCATTAAATCTATCACCTTGACTCCAATGGTATAGCTGAATAACAGTACTTATCTCTTAGAATCTGTCAGCAGTCAGACATTTAGGTTAATGTCTGGGTATCATTCTGTGTATTTTTCTAAGTTTGAGGTACAGTGAACTACCTATATGGTTGAATGTAGAAGCCCTTTATCTCATGCAAAACATTTGGAAACCATGCAAAAGCATTTGGAAAACACCATGCAAAACTGTCTCCCGCAGTGAGCTTTCACGTGGATTTCCCTCAGAAGGGACAGTGGAGGAGAGGCTGATTGCATGGTGACCTGGCGCGTGGTCACCAGCTTTGCTGCGTGCTCTAGCAACCTCGAGGGTTGGTGTGTCATCAGAGCCTGTGGGACCACAGGGCCCAGCTGCAGCTCTTCCTCTTCTTCAGGCTACCTTCGGTGCTCTTTAAACCATTTGCTTACATCTCTTGCTTTGTTAAAGAAACATCCTAAGGAAACTGCCTAATCACACCAATGCTAAGAAACCAGATTCACTGAGGAAATATGAGAGTGACATGAAAGGAGATGGTTGATTTTGAGTTATTGGATCAATATCTCTGAATTCCTTGAGCCACAGTTTTCTAATCTATAAAATGAGGATACTGGGCTGCTTACCTCATGGAATTGTAAGGCAGAGATAAAGTTAAATATGGACAACAGCTATTTGTAAACTGGGTCTTTCTCTTTCTCAACTTTTCTGCAATTTATTCTTCCATTTCAATATGGATATTTTGGTTTGGGATGTGTTCAGACAACCTCCATGAAGCAGGTCAGACACATCTCTGTAACCTTAGTCTACACGCCAACAATTCCAGGTTTCTCTTTCACCAAGACTTCTCCTGCTCCCTGGGCCACCTCTTTCTTGGTATGCCCATGGCCCTTCTCATCTATTTCATTATTTGGACTGCTTTAACATATGCACAATTACCCGTGACCCCTATATATGAGTCTCAGCTTGCACTGAAGACATGTACACTGTTGGGTGCATCTCTGGGTCCCCAGCCCCTAACCTGGGCCTTGGTGTTAAAAAATAGCAACAGTGCTTGTTTTTTAGTTGCTACTCTTTCAAAAGCTCCTTTTAAAATTAAGTGAAAAGTAACTCCACAGGCCACAGAACAACTGGTGACCACCCTTTGGGATTCCTGGATCCTGGGATGCTAGTTCCATATTTTAGAGATTCTCTTTCTTAGAATCCTTTAGGGCCAAGCACTCAAAAGGCCTGGTGAGAAAGAATTGATGGGGCAATCTTGATTGAATAGCATCAGGGTGATCACAAGGGTCTCTCCACAAATCCTCCAACAAATTGTGGTGACATTGGGGTTGTGGTCACTTCAGAAACACAAAACTATAGTTAAAGTAAAATGGCTAGGATGGAGCTTGAGCACAAAGGTACTTGAGATCGGCAAGCAAAGAGACAATAGGAAATAAGACCCCTTATTTTATAACAGGGTATAACAGGGGCTAACAGGGTCTATTTTCTGTTGCTAGAGGTTACACTAGGCTCCTACCAAAGTAGCACATCTCCTGTTTAAAGTTTCAAAGCCATTTTGTCTTCATCGGCTGCTACCATTACAACCAATGCTGGGTCTAGGCAGGGCCCTCTGTCACAGGGATGTGAAGTCCAGGACCTGACATACTTTACTCTTTCTGGGCAAAGGCTGGGAGGAGTCTGGTCGAATTTTCTCTCACCTGGATGTTCTCTGCTTGGTGTTTTGAAGTCTCAGATTCCAAGGCATCTCTTGAGTGTCTCGCTGCCACCTAAAACTCAGCATATCAGAAACGGGCTAGGTATTTCCTTTCCAGGCTTCTCGCTTCTTTTCATAACTTTTCCAACTTTCCTCATTTCTGCTATTACCTTCTCCCTGGTTGCCCTTACACCTGTTAATGCTCCTGCCTCAAACATGTGCCATAACCTATCTTAGCTCTGACGTTCTCTCCACTGCCACAACAGCCCGCTGATTTTTTCCAACAACCGTATGCACAGCTAGTCCTAAATCATCTGGTCCCAAATGTCCAGGAATTCTCATCATGACTGAAAATACCAGTGTCCAGACAGAGGCCTCCTTAGCTATCATTATCTGTTTGGTGCAGGTGCAAGAACTGTACACAAACATTGGGGAAGGGTACTGGCCTTGTCTCGTGTAAATTGCCGTCTTTCACAGAAAGCACCGATGCAGAGAAAGGGGAGGAAAAGGATTAAACAAAGAAAACAAATTGGCTCATTGACTGTGTTGGATTTCTGCATACTCGACTTTTCATTTGCGGGGCGTTGGGGGTCTGAACATAAAGAAGCTAACACTTAAACACTACTTACTATATCCTAGGAATTTTATGCATTATATTTTGTTTAATCCTAGAATCAATCCTTGAGGTAGTTATCATTATCTTATTTTTTTTTAACCAATGAGGAAATTGAGGACAAAAATATCAGACAACTTGTCTGAGGAGCCACAGCCAGTAAGAGGAGAGGCTGGGTTTGCTTCTGGCAGATTCCTGCCTCTGAGGCTCTGAGCTCCTCTCATGAAGGGGTAGTTGCCATTCTATTCAATGGAAAATTTCCCCAGCTTTTGTAATAAACTTAATTTGGAGGGACGTGGTGGGGGTGTGCTGACTGGATGATAAGTGGGTGGTAGGGATGAAGTGGAAAAATCAAATCCTTTAATATATTAAGTGAGACATTTTAAATCAGCATAGAAATGAAGATGCTTGGCCAACATATCAACTATTTGGAAAAAATATTATATGTCACATCATACATTAAATGTATGTGGTCTAATGTAAAACAAATCACAAAAAATCATATGTATGGATTTGTCTTATCTTGGAGGGGGAAAGGATTTTTAAGCATAATACAATGGCAGAAACTAAAAAGCTTTCTAGATTAAATTCAGTTGTCATTAAAATATAATAAACATAAAACCATAAAACATCAGAATGGCACAAGACATGTGTGCCTTGGAAAAATATTTTTTTGCAATATTTATGAGAAAGGACTAATTTCTTTAAAGTACAAAAAGCTTTTACTATCACTAAAACAAAATAAACCAAAATCCAAAGCAAAACAGGCAAAAGACTTTGCTGGCTTTTCACAGACAGGAAATACAAATGACTAATGAATACAGAAATTAAAGATAATGCATCCAATGTTATCAGTTGCAATAAATGCAATTGCCATTTTTTTGTTTATACTTTCTCTATTTTCTATTTTTTATAACGAATACATATGAATGTCATAATTCTTCACCCCCACACCAGATGTAAAACACAAATTTACATATGTGACATTAATCACTACTTTCTCATTCACATCCTTTCTATATTTTGTTTTGTTTTCCAATTGTTCATCTAACACTAACCGAGTGTCTGCTATGTGCCAGAAACAATGCCAGGAACCAGGAATTTAATTTAATGAATAAGAAACAATCTCTACATTTGAGGAGCTCACAACTAGATATAAAAATAGTGATTTGTAATCTGATAGAAGAATGTAAAGATGAGGATTGACAAAGGGTTCGAAGACCCAGGGAGAAGAAATCCCAGACAATGCTATTCTCAGGAAGGGACCTGAGACTCTCCTTAGGATCACTAAGCCTCCTTTTGGCAAGTGGCCACAAGTGGGGTAAAAACTTCTCTGAGGAGCTCACTGTCCCTAGACAACCTCATTTTATACCCTTGTTTTTGGTGGCATTAATTTTTGCAATGGCTCTTTGATGTTAATGAAGGTGATGGTCCAAAAAATGAAATTATCTTCGAATTATTGAGCCCGGCTTTGTGTCAGCCACTATGTCAGCACCATACACACTAGAACCCTCTAAAGTAGGTATTGTATTATCATGATTTCACTTAAAATGAGGAAAATTAGTCCAGAAAACTTAAAAGGCAAGTCCTCTACCTGTTGAGATGACCTCTGCCTACCTGCTAGCAAGGAGTCCACATCAAATAAAGCCTCCTGGCGACAGGAAGCTTGCTGTTTGTTTTGAACTTAAAATAGTGACTGAAAGGGAGGTGGTGTCTGTGACCTCCTTGTGGAGCACGAAGAGCTCAGGAGAGCATCCCTTTCTCGGGACCTCAGAAAGTTGTTCCCTGTCTAACTGGTCGCCCATTATATAGCCCTCCCTTGGCAAAGTCTTTCCGCCTCTCAGCTATCCTCCTCCAGCTACTTACATTCTGCAGAGAAGTCAAAACCTATAAGAAATTTAATGTGGTGTCTGGCACTTAGTAGGCACTGAATGCTTGGCAGGCACCTTAACCTAATCCCCGTCTCCCCCAAGAGCAGCCCTCTTTCTGTCCTTCTGGTTGCATTGCCCTGTCCCGACTCCCTCGCTCCCCTGCAGGGAGTCTGGACTCACCTGTTCTCCCTCAGCAGAGAGTTTCCCATCCTCTCGGTGATGGAAAGGAGCCTTCTCCTCCGTCCCTTTACCACTTCCCTCTGGCCTGCCTTGTGCTCTGACAGGGCAGTCCTGACTTACAGACGGGCTGTGTGGCTCTGGCCACCTGTGCGTAGAGAGTTGAAAGGAGAAGAGCATCTCTGCAGAGGGAAGGAAGAGGCCGGGGGGAGGGGAGTTACAGGCACACACGTGTGGAACGTCCTAAAATGTCAGAGTCGGAATGAACCGGACTGTTGGTTGAAACCAGAAGCTGTAGGTCAATGAAAGCTTTGAACATCCTGGGAACCCCAGGTCTGCAAGTATATATGGGCTGTGGGAGTTTTTCCATTTCAGATACTTAACATTTATTAAATCACTAGTCAGAGGGGGAAACTTTGTTTTTAAAAAAGAAAAGGTCAAAACAAAGAGTCAATTGTTCTTTCTCCACTCCCACTGCTTCACTTGACCAGCCAAAAATAAAGAAATAAAAATAAAACAAAGAGTCAAGCCACAGACCACAGTAGAAAATACAATATTAAAAACTCATTTGCGGCTGGGTGCGGTGGCTCACGCCTGTAATCCTAGCATTCTGGGAGGCCGAGGAGGGAGGATCGATCAAGCTCAGGAGTTCAAAAGCAGCCTGAGCAAGAGCAAGACCTGTCTCTACTAAAAATAGAAAGAAATTAATTGGCCAACTGAAAACATACAGAAAAAATTAGCCGGGCATTGTGGCGCATGCCTGTAGTCCCAGCTACTCCGGAAGCTAAGGCAGAAGGATTGCCTGAGCCCAGGAGTTTAAGGTTGCTGTGAGCTAGGGTGATGCCATGGCACTCTAGCATGGGCAACAGAGTGAGACTCTGTCTAAAAAAAACAAAAAAAACCAAAAAAAACCCCAAACCATTTGAGACTAAACAAACGCCAAATAACAAAATGGACAAAATATTTGAACAGATACTTCACTAAAGAAACTATACAGATGGCAAATACAGGAAAACATGCTCAACATCATAGTCATTAAACCACAATGCAACACATTTGCATGCTTATTACAATGGCTGACATTGAAAACAAAACCAAGAACTGACAATATCAAGTCCTGGTTAGGGATGCAGAAAAACCGGAAGTCTCACACATTGCTGGTGAGAATGTCAAATGATATAGCCTTTTTGGAAAACAGTGTAACAATTTCTTACCAAAGTTAAATACAGACTTACCATACATCCCAACATTTTAACTCCTATTTACCTAAGTGAAACTTACGTCCTCTAAAAACATGTGTACACATTTTTATACCTGCTTTATTCATAACTGACAAAAAGAAAAAACCCTGAAAATAGCCCAAATGATCTTCACTGAGTGAATGGCTAAACAAACTGTGTTACATCCGTGCAATGGAATACTAGCCAGCAACGAAAAGGAACGAACTGCTAATACATGCAAGAGCTTGGGTCACTCTCAAATGCATTATACCGAATGAAAGAAGCCAAACTTTAAGCCTACCTTTTGTGATATTCAGGACAAGGTTAAACCATAGGAACAGAAAACACATTAGCCTTTGCCAGGAGCAAGGGGTAGGGGAGGGGTTGACATTTAAAGGACAAGAGGGGCCGGGCCCGGTGGCTCAGGCCTGTAATCCTAGCACTCTGGGAGGTTGAGGCGGGAGGATTGCTCAAGGTCAGGAGTTCAAAACCAGCCTGAGCGAGACCCCGTCTCTATTATAAAAATAGAAAGAAATTAATTGGCCAACTGAAAACATACAGAAAAAATTACTGAGCATGGTGGGCGCATCCCTGTAGTCCCAGCTACTCGGGAGGCTGAGGCAGGAGGATTGCTTGCGCCCAGGATTTGAGGTTGATGTGAGCTAGGCTGACACCACGGCCACTCACTCTAGCCTGGGCAACAAAGCGAGACTCTGTCTCCATAAATAAAAAATAAATAAAAATAAGGACAGGAGGGAATATTTTTCATGTTAATCTTTATCTCAATTGTGATGGTGGCTAAGCGAGTGATGCATATTTCTTAATCCATAGAACTGTATACTAACAAGGGTGCATTTACTGTATTAAATCATATCTCAACATATACTTCAACAAATATGTTGAGCGCCTTCTATTTGCTGGGCATGAGGCTCAATGATGACAAAGGATACAGGTGTGTCTCATAGAGTTCCTTGAAATATAAATAAACCAAAGTGCAAAATACTTTATTGCTTATGCTTGAATAACCAGAGGTCGTACTGAACAGGAGTGGGATGGGCAGTGGCTCAGAAGAACGTTTTAAGAAACCTGGCGGGTGCTGGTTGTGAACACCAGACCCATGCGCTTCATATTGGCTGCTCTCCAGACATCAGTCTGCCTCTGTAAGCCATTTCCAGGAGCATTATATTTAAAATGGTAGAGAAGGTGAACATTCCCTGCCTAGGAGTTGCATTCTTGATGCTTCCAGAAGAAAGTATCTTCTGGAGTGACAAGGGCCTGTCAGAGAAAGGAGGGTTTTTCCAATCCAGGAGGGCTCTGCACGAAGCACAGATATATTCATTATTTAGATAATTTTACTACTATAGGACGAATACAAACTAACAATAAGAGGTAATTCTTGCTGTTGAAAATAAAGAAACTTCTTCCTCTTTTTTCTTTCAAGCATTCACTTTAAAAACATTTAAGCTTTTCCTCTACCTCTTTGAAATTATTAAATCTCTTAAAAGACAATATGCAATGCAGATATTCCTCAAGACCTGGAGCCATCTCTTGAAAGGTAATCATCAAGGAACGATAGTGCCCTATCCTCCCAGTTTTTCCTGGGAGTAGAGGAGCCTAACTTCAGTTAACAAATCTACTTCCAATCAAAAAAAAAAGGAGAAATTTATTTTTTCTTTAAAGGCATTAGCAAACACATAGTGAAACATTTCAGATGAACTATGTGTGACAGATGGTGCTGTCAGCTCCTCTTATTGAGGACTAGTCATTGTTTATCTTGAATGTTACAGTGGATTATATCTGGTTGGCTATTATAAAGGGCAAGACTCTTTCTGCTTTTGTAATCTCTTCAGAGAGTTGCTCGTGATGCACCTTACCTTCTGGTTTACATGTTTATTCAAAAATAAGGTGTTTTCTTTCTCCTCTACTTTTTGTAAGAGCTTTCTGGAATGGCAGAGATTTTGCTTAAATTCTGTTTCCTAATGGTAGCCCATTAAATTTCATTAATCCTTCAGGTAACTGACTCTAGAAAAGACCAAGTATTCAGTGCCTCAAGGGTGGCAGATTTTCTTATTTTGAGAATATCTGAATTCAGGAAACCTCTTTTTAATGAATTAGATGACAGTGAGAAAATTCTTAATGAGCGCTTATATTAAATTAGGAGTGTCCGCTGCATGTAGATCTAAGAAACTGGGCTCCCCTAGTCTATTTCTCCATTCTCCTCTTTCAAAATCCTTCATTTCCCAGGCTGGATCACTTAGGGATTGTCTTCAACCTTATCTAAAGCTTCTTTTCTGTGTATAGAAAATCTGAGACAACACAAATGATCGCGCTATTGGTTATTGGATAAGTGTTTGGTAATATGTTGAGAGACGAGAAGAGAGATTGAACGAATCTTGATATAGTGTTGTAAGTAACTTTTCTCTTCCCCATTGTCTTTAGAAAAAAATGAAAAAATATCCACCCAATCTAAAATGCCCTCCTTCTCTGTGGGCTCAGCACTTTTTGTATTGTACTACTTAAAGGCCAGCAGCAGGAAACCAGAGTGTGTCAGCATTATGGAAAAGACAAAAAATGGACAAGAGTGCTCAGCCAGTGAGTAGGGCTTTTTTTTTTTTTTTGACAGACAGAGCCTCACTCTGTGGCTGGGCTAGGGTGCAGCGGCATCATCACAGCTCACTGCAACCTCAAACTCCTCTGCTTAAGTGTTCCTCCTGGGTCAGCCTCCTGAGTAACTGGGACAATAGTCAGGTGCCACTACGCTTGGCTAATTTTTTTTCTGTTTTTGGTAAAGACGGGGTCTTGCTCTTGCTCAGGCTGGTCTTGAACTCTTGACCTCAAGTGATCCTCCCACCTTGGCCTCCCCACACTACAGGAGTTAAGCCACCACACCCATAGTGGTTATTGACACCTCACCAGTATGAATTAAGATATCCAGACTGTGGGTGGGGCAGCTTGAGCAGACACAGCCTGGCCATGGCCCCATGGCTTAATTAGTTCCAATGCTGTCTTGAGGCATCTTCCTGTCCAGAGAGTGAGCAAAGCAGGGTGAGAGTTGAAAATCAATTTGCCCATTGTAATTTAAGGAAAGACTGGGTATTGCTCCCTACATTTCAACCTTCAGTTTTACTCCCAGGCCACTAGATGGAGAAGCTGAGCTATGGAAGTGTTGGCTACCATTAGTGAAAATTTCTTAAGATTGGTAAGGTAACAGGAAAGAGCAGGGCATTTATAATACGCACATTTATTACTGTGAAACCGAGTCTGGACTATAAATAATCTACCTCCACTCCACAAATGAAAGTACAGCGACACAAATCCACACAAAGGAGCTCAAATAGCACATTAGAATCATAGATTTTCTCTTCTGCTCAGTGTTTACCTAACACTGTGCTTAATACATACAAAAAACCCATAGGAAATGAATTGGAAATAAAGCCAGGATATTTGTAAGCAAATGATGGTAAAATCAGAAGAAGTTTGGATTGGGACCTTTAAATTTACTTTCCTATCCTTTGGAATTACTGCAGAAAATTAATGACCAATGCAAAAACTGTCTTGCTATACTTCTAAGATCATGGGATGATATAATAGAAATAACAATTTGTTGAGAGATTTCTAATAATCCAGGCACTCTTTTAAATGCTATAAATACAATTTATCATTTATTCATGTAAGAATTCTGTAAGATAAATACAGTTGTATTTATCTGTGTTGTAAATGAGGACAGCAGGCTCAAGTGACTTGCTCAAGGATATCTGGGTAGTAAGTGATAGAGCCAGGATATATGTTCAAGCAGGGCATAGACTTTATCTGTCAATTCACTGCCCTATTTAATAAGTAGCTGATGAAACACAAGCTTGACTTTGAAACGTGGTCTACACCACTCCAATGTGGCAGTAAGGTG